CTTATTAAACTTGATAATGTGGCGAGCACCATCGAATGAAATGTCCCTAGGGAACTGACGTGTAGACTAAGCCAGGCAGTCCGTTGGGAGAAAATACATATTTCGCAGTGTTTGACGGGTTTTCAACCCAAATATACACTTACAATTTCGGCCTATGCCTATAGACCATAAATATGCTGGTCTCGTCGAGTGAACTATCACCCGACACTCTCATCCACCTTCTTTCTTGCTACCAAAAATTTGAATATCCGTGTCGGAAAATCAGTTTTCCAGTTTCTGCAGCATGCTTATTAGACAACCTACTGCATCAACTTTGGTAATCATCTTCCCAGAAATTTCCTGCCACGCGCTTTAGGGTTGAGGACCGGGTACCCTATGGCGACTAGCTGCTTCCCAGCGGCTTATTGTGTACACACGTGTCTGCCTAATTTTCTGGTCTAAAACTTTCCTTATTTATGTCCTGCTTGCTAGATGGTTTGACTCATGTAGCATCCTCATTGACATCTAAATGAGTAGTTTGACACTTACTCCCTCAAGCACATTTAGATTTTTTATTTTAATTAGATGAATGAAGTTGTGGTACTGAATGCTTTTCAATAAAGAACAGTGCATTTCTACTGAGATTTATTGAAAGGAAACAGGCTGGATTTGGGCAAAATCGAGGTTTCGGAACGTTCAATAAATTTCTTATGTTCGGCTTTTTAATCTCCTGAGAAACTAATTTCTGTTCGAGGTATATATCAGTACATTTAAAGTCTATAGGTCTAGACTGAAATTGCAAGTGTACATTTGTGTTGAAATCCGTCAATCTCTGTGAAATATACACTTGCTGCCGATAGACTTAAAGCACTGATACATATCGCGAACAGAAATTAGTTTCTTAGGAGATTAAAGCGCCGAACTTTCTAGACCGCTATATCAACCTCAAAACAGACAAGGAAAGCTGGGGGACCCACTGATGAGCCGGACCCCCCGCAGCTGTGTTGAGCAGCGGCGGAATTCCGGCGAAACACTTGTCTGGGTCTTTCAGCTAGTACCTAGGCTGTTAGTATGGTAAGTTACAACATTTCCTATGTTGCTTATTACTACATTATTATCACGGCTCATTGTCTTTCTATCTTGTGCTATAAAAACACATTACAAACCAGGACAGTTTAATATTAACACTTCCTGGAATCGGAAAATCTGATATTAAGCCAGTGAAAACAGGATGAAGGCAAATATAGCGAACGGGATTGTTTTCCGCATATAAGGATTGAATTCAGCTTTAAATAAGTATTTTTTTCTCCGAATGTCTGAAACTTTGCCACACGACGCAGTAATTCGATTAATGACACAGATAATCGAGAAGAAGAAGTTTTATCGAACACCAGAATCATGATTTTATTGGTCTGAGATTTCGGGCTCTTGCAGGCGTCCATCGTCAGAAATGGGAAAACAGCAACGAATGGGGTGGCTAGTTCTGGCTCTTTTCCCATCTCTGACGATGGACTCCTGCAGAAGCCCGAAAGCTCAGACCAATAAAATCGTGATACCGGTGTTTGAAAAAAAAACTTATTCTTCTCAAAATATACACGTTCCTGGAATGCGAGCATTTACCTCAACAGATAATTGAGAATTTAAGTACGTATACTTATGTGATACTCAAGGTGGCCCCTATCGAAAGTTATATTCAACTTGAAGCGAGCTGTAAGATGCTATTTCTAGAATATAGTTTCCATTAATGTGTATTTTGAAACGGAACATTCCTTGTGCACTTGAAATATTAGGATAAGATTTAAAGGGCAATGAAATATAACGCAAAAACGTTCTAAAATAAAAAGCAAAATTAATCCTTTTTGACGTTTGCAAAAAGCAATAGTTCCAGGATAAGAATTTGACAGCATGTTTATACTCACCTTAAAGGATTTTGGCGTTGCTGACGTTTAGGAGAGTTGGGTTGAAAGAGAAAGCAGCCATTCAGCATGTTCCACCATGTAGACGAAGCGTAACGCCAACTGTCGTGAATTATGCCAGCATCCACACGTAGAGCAAAGCCGCGAACGAAAAAAATCGATAACTCAACGGCCGACGATTACAGCCGCATATCCAAATTGCAGATCGATAGTGACAGTTTGAACTTTGTCAAAGGAGAGCCGGCCCAGCTCCCCAAAAGCGAAAATTCGTTCTCATGAGTTGTTTCATTTTCAATGGAAAATTTATCGTTCCTTTCATGGAATTTATAAATCATGTCCGACTTTCTGACTTTCACCATGCTATTTAATGCAACGGAGCAAAATCTCTTGGGTTGGGCGTTCTGCTAAAAGAGAATAGAAATATAATCAAGAAAGTTTTTACAAAGATTAGACAATTAGAAGGGATTGCTTTTCTTCCGGAAGAAGAAACAAAATCTTCCTTAAATGTTGTTTTTTGCTAACGGTTGAAGCTTTTCAACGCAGACCACTGCAATAAACTTTTATACCTGTATTTTGTTCTACTTAACCGAGAAGTGGGCAAATCAAATACACATATTTTTTTCTCGGTGAGGGACTCCCACAACAAACTCTTTTACATTTGATACATGCACTATGATAACAGTGCAAATCGGATTTGCAGATGGTAAGTCAGAGGGCGAAAGAGCGTTCACGGGGAGGGGTTTAGTTGATATCTGA